TCAATAGAAATCTAATAGGAACAAAAGCCCCAAATCAATTTATCATTAGAACCTTAAAATCCCAATTTAAACAAATTAAAACCCAGGTTTTAAAATTATAAAATTTGAAAATTATAAAATTTGAAAATTATGATAACAATTAAAATCTGAAATTATTAGTTTAAGACATCAAAAATATGATTTTGATACTAAAAATATAATCTTATACTACAAAATCAAAACCCAAAACAATTTTTAAAAAAAGAGAGTAAAACAAAAATAAATGGAGAAAGAAGGTGAAAGAGGCAGCCATGGTGGCCGGCCAGGCTGCTGGTGGTTCGCCGGCAGGGTCGTCGGCGGTCTGGCGGCAGCGGCGGCGGTGGGCGCGCCGGAGGTGGTAGCGGGCAGCAGCAAGGAGGAATAAGAAGGAAGGAAACAAAAAGAAAAAGAAAGGAAAAGGAAAAGAAAAGGAAAATAAAGGAAAAAGAAAATTAAGGGGAAAAAAATAAAGAAATAAAATAAAGAGCAGAGAATTTACTAATCTTTTTATGTGGGGAAAATTTTGGGGAGTATGGGGTATTTATAGGGGAGAGAGTTGTAGGGTAAGTAGGAGTAATGGGCTTCAAAAAAAAATAATGGGCCAACAAAAAAATGAAAGGGGCTATGCTTTATTTGTATTGACATATAAGTTAATGATTTCATAAAAACCATAATGTAATAAAATAATTTTCCACCCAAAATAATTTGAAACTTTTTAAAATAAAATACGAAAAAATACAAATAAATATTATAAATAAATAAATTTTCATTTATAAAATATTTAAAAATACGAGGAATTACAATGTTCTTAAAATTATGTTGATTTTTTTTATTTTTTTTATTTTTATCATCTCTTAGATCCATATTCATTTTTTAATTGGAAATAAATATGTTCTTTAGTCTGATGAATATGTTCTTTCGGTCTCAATAATATTCTCATTACATTACAACTCATATTCTTTAAGCGTGTACATTAAAAAAGTTCTTTAGGATTTTAATAAGAAGAACTATGTTCTTTTTACTTGAAAAATATGTTCTTCTATACATGTTCATGTTCGTTTGTTTTAACTCATATATTATTTCGAAAGCAAAAATTTAGTAAATTTAATTTTATATTTTGAGTTTTGAAATTTGAAAATGAAACCTAAAATTATTATTTTGGTTAAAATAATTTTAGATAGAGAATTCTTTAAATGAAGTATTTTGAAATGATTTTACATCATATACTTGATAAAATTAAATTACTAGTAATTATCTATTACCGTTTTGAAAACGGTATCTAAGACATTATTGTGCTGTTTGTATTACAATTGTGTGTTCTTTTATAAATTCATAAATTTTTGTAAAATTATAAGTTATATCTTTTCCTCTTTGATTCGAGTTTAGCATGTATGTGCATGGTCCACTCGAGTGTACGAACCATCGATTAGCTACTCAGTTGATCATATTTTGTTTTATACGTAAAGAAAAACATATTTGGGATCTTGTTTGAATCGTTTGATTAAGTTTCATCCTAAAATTTGTTTGTAAGTATAATTTTAATTATTAGGAGTTAAAGATATTTTTGGTTACATTATTTATGCATTGCCGAAATGATAAATGAACAAATAAAAAAAAAAGAACAAAGCAAGTTTTTTTTTTTTTTTTTTTTATTTTTTTTTTTAAAAAAAAAAACTAAAACTTATATGGTGTGTATGGGCTTTCTTAGAGGTGTTAGAATTGACCCAACTCAATTTATAAACTTCAACTTGTATGGGTATACAAATTTTTACCTACACCCCATGGCAGGGAACATTGCCTGCAACCCCCTTCCCCACCCTCCGCGTGTGTTCTGCTCCCTCCCCTTTTCATTTACGAATATTCTACAAATATTTATAAAATATTCATTTATGTATTGGTAAATGTTCATTTGTGTATCATAAGATGTTCATTTTTGTAACAATGAGTTTTTTGTTCAAACTAATACATATTTTGAATTTAATTTTAAGAATTTTCTATAAATAAAAATGAGAGCAAATTTATTTATAAGGATTATTACGTCCAAATCATTTTTACTATAAGAAGTATTGCATCATCCAAAGTCATTTTGTTTATTCGTATTTCAACAAATGTTCATTTTTGTATCATCAAATTTTCATTTCAAGAGTTATGTGTAAGTTTCATAATAAGATGTATGCAAATACATACGTCTTAGATTTCTATTTATTTAAATAAAACGTTGTTATTTTGTTAACAATAATTTTCAATATAAAATAAATTTAATTTAAGTACATTAATTACACGTGTCTATACAGCTATACTATTAAATGTAATTGTTCCATAAATATGAAATTTAACCAAATGTACATAAGTGTCTTGCTAAATGAACATTATTTCTTACATTTGATATAATAAAGTGTGTATATATATCCTCCTTGTTGCATCTCAGTTCTAATCATATACTTGTGTGTTCCCCATGAATAATATAATCTGAGCACAATATATATGTTACCTTCAATTTCCTTACTTGATTATCTTGTACAATGAGAGTTCGATCAAGTTTTTCAAAAAAATAAAAAAAAATAAAAAGAAAAAAAAAATAATGATAACAACACATTCCAAACAAAAGTATGTGAAATCTAAGAATTTAAAAATTGAACATTTATTCATGAATAACAATAAGTATCAGAAATGAACACACTATAAAGATATAAAAAAATCTTTCAATATATATGAGAATGAAAATTTATAAAATCTAAATGAACATTTAAATCACTTCCATGGACAAAATATGACAATTAAATCATTCACAAAAAAAAATTTGAACACATTGCTAGAAAAATGAACAAATATTAATATCTAAATGAACATCTTTCAGCATAAAAATGAACTTTCACCAAAAATCAAATGAACAAATAAAAAATTTTGATATAGCATTTTTCAAGATATAATAACAAATAAGTATTAAAAATTGAAACAAATATCTTTTAATATGAGAATGAAAAAGTATAAAATTAATGAATATGCTTAGATATAAAGATAAAAATTGTATTATGCAAATGAACATATTTTCATATGAGAATGAACATGTAATACAAAGAGATTAAACATGTATTAAATTTAAATTAATATATGTTAATATGAAAATGATCCTAAATGAATATGAATTCCACTTAGAATGATATTTTGTTTTCCATCTAAAAGGAATTTATAATAGATAGAGCCAAAATTCGTCAAATAACACTTTTTAGTGACAATATTTGTAATATTAAATAATAATTGATGCTTCCATTTCATAAATCAAATTGATAATTTGTCTTTAATTTTAGTTATTATAAATTTATAATTTGTATTTTTTTTGCAATTATAATTTGAATATTAATCGTTCTACAAATGAACATAATATCCATCTAAAATGAACATTTATGATAGAATAAATGTGCTAGTCAAGATTTTCACCAAACAAAATTTTAATTATATTATAATATAATTATGGAAAATTCTTATACATAATTCAATTATGATAATAAGAATCACCTCCATTAAAAACTATGAGAAATCACAAAGTCTAATTGAAATTCTTATTAGATATGTGAAGAATTCTAATGATTATTTATTAATAAGTAAATGACCACATAATAGTATATAAATGAACATTTACCAAAATAAATATGAACATTCATTAAAAAAATCCATTACGAAACTAAATTTACATTTCTATAATTCTACAAAACAAATCAAATTATTTATTATATATATTAGGGCAATTGAACTCTATTTTTGATTTTTTTTGTCCAGTAATTGTATAAGTTAATAACACACACCACAATTTAAATAAACTTAAAATAGAGTAAATAAAGCATCATTTTACTATAATCTTAAGAAATCATTATTACTAAGTAAAATTATAAGAAATCATAAACTACTACTATTGAAATTTCATATTATTGAAAAATAAGAAAATTAAAAAGTTAGGTTTTGATCTTTTTTTCAAAAAAACAAACAAAATCATTAACTTACAATTTGATTAATGGCCGTTCTTTTGTAGAAATTTTCTTCGATTTTTTTTCAATTAACAAGTAGAGATCTAAGAGCATTTTGATTTATTTTTCAAGAAATATTTAGAAGATCTTGGTAGTTCAGGAGAGAGAAAGTGGTAAAACTATGAGGAGGGAGAAATATTAAATGTTACAAAAATTATGAAGAAAACTGATTTATAAGAGGAGAGAGAAAATATAAGAAATAAAGAGATAGGGGTTGTAGGTATTATGGTAATTTAATGTGGCGGGGAGGGGTGGTGTAGGCAATGATGCCTAAAGGATGGTGTAGGTAACAACAACTAGTGATTTAGAATGACATAAGTTTGCATCAGACCTAACTTGACCCGACTTAATGGAAATCAGGCCAATTGAGTCACCTAAATTGACACCTCTAACCTTTTGTAAACAAAATTATAGTGACATTACTCAGCCAATCTAAGTTTAACACGCAACATTATAAGGATTTTGAAGTTGGGTGTGGAAATAAACTGTGATAAAAGTAAAATTGAAAAAAACAACCAAAATTGACTTTGCACAAACAGAATAATGCGGGGTTAAAGTAAGTCTGGAGTTAGACTTTGTTCTTTTGAGTTGAACTTGACTTAATTAAACTGAAATGATGTGAACTATATCAAATGCATAATTAATCTATTGATTAAATCTATGCTTTGGCCAAACGAGAAAACACAAAATGTTACAAGAAAAATAAAATTCCTTAAGACAATAGAGTGATATTATAATGTGTGCACAAGGATATATACGCTCAGATATTCAAGAGATACAACTTCATTAGATGGTGAAATCAAGGTCAGCTTTCTTTTCTGAGCAAAAATGTAGCAAATATCGAATTCGCAATTCTGATAGCTGCTTGAAGTTCCTACACAAGAAAATCAAGCATAACATAATTGGTACGACCAAAATCTCTATCATACGTCTTATGATTAACCACTTCCATCTAGAATCTCACGGCTTCATCAAAGATAAAATCTGAACATCAACAGATCCTGCTAAAAATGCTAGTAACATAAACAATATTCCGACACTAATATATAACCCTCCAATGAAGAGGGTGATATCTGTTAGCTTTTCCACAATCATCCCAAAGATAAGAGCTAAAGCTGACATTACCGCAAAAAGGAATGCAAAACCATTGCATATGATAAACAATTTGAAAGCCGGGGATCTTATTAAAGTTGGAATGCCAGTGTCATCCTTGTAATCACCTGGAGGGGTGAAAGCCGCGGTAAAACTTACAGTGATGATGAGTGTGGCTACCACCAGAAAAGTGTTAGCTCTCTCCTTGTTGGTTAACTTTAACTTCCCGTCTAATGATAAACTGGTATTATACCTTGTTGAATCTGTCTGTTTGGCTATAGTTTTTTTCTCGCTATTTCCTTGGTATTCTATTCTTTCACTCAGTATTGACTTTTCACCTTGAACTCTTTTCAACATCAAATCCATAAGATTAATCTGCAATAGTCAATTAATTAAAGTTTTTATTATAGATTAAGTAACACTAATAGTTTGTTATTGATATATTGTTAGGATATGTCTTGAATCAATAAGGTCTTGTTCCCCTTGAAACTACTATCACAAGAGTCCACAGTGTTGGGTACAAATTTTTTTTTGTTTAATTTTTAGGCCTATTTCGACCTATTCTGTTTTCTATTTTGGGAGAATTATATAAAATTATAAATTCCCTTAGGGGTTAACCTAGCCAAATAATCTTTAATGTTGGTGTACTCGTACTATGACACTATCCTCAAGATCAAGGATGTTATGTACTTCCATGCAGTGGTAACCACATTATGCATTCATGTTTGTTGATTTCATTAATATTTCCCACACCGTCATAACAACTATGAAATGATGTATGACTAATAATAATAAAGGAATTGAACGCTAACCTGCTTTCCCGACATGACTTTTTCACATGGATCTTGCACATACTTTTCAAAGAGATCCCTAGGCGTCAGCAACTCTTTGTTAGTAGAGTTTCCAATAACATGTTTTTCTTGTGTCAACTGGCACACAACTTTGTAATGAGCACCTTTGACAGCCAAATGTAGTGGAGTGTTACCATTGTCATCACTATTATTGAGCAACTCTTTGAACTCTTGTAATTTCAACAAAAATCTAACGACATTTGTGTTTCCTGTTTCTACTGCTACATGGAGAACATTTTGACGGTTGCTATTTAGCAAACAAATTTTAGGATGTAGTAGTTTGATTATTTTAATTTGACCTCCTTTTACAGCTTGGTGAATAGGAAAAGATCCATCATTGTCCACATCACGTTTGAATTCAAGATGTGGATGTCTTTTCAATAATAGTTTCACCCCCTCAACATAACCTATGTGTGCGGCGTAAGACAAAGGATTTCGCCCTTTACTGTCAAATGAATCCATTAGTCTTGGAGCCTTCACAATTATTTTCTTCAAGATAGTTGCATTACCTCAAAAGCATGTTGGCTCAATTAAGACATGTTTATTGAAAAATGTATAAATAAACTTTATACATAATATAAAGGAAATTTTTTAAATTACCACCAAAAAATATAACCATCTTCGAACTAACCACCCGAATACTTTTTTTTTATTTTAAATTACCACCCATTAAATTAAATAAATGCTCATATTACCACCCATTTTAAAAATCCGGTGAATTTTATGGTTGCGGGCCCCACCTAATGTTTATTTTGACCATTTGACTGTTTTTTTTCCCCGATTTTTCTCTTTAAAACGCTCTCCTAACTTCAATTCACATTTTTCTCTTTGAAATTTGGTAGAATTTGGTGAATGAAATGTGAATTAAAGTAAAGAGAGCGTTTTTAAAGAGAAAAATCGGGGGAAAATCAGTCAAAAGGGTCAAAATAAGTGTTAGTTGGGGCCTATAGATGGAAAATCCACCGGATTTTTGAAATGCGTGGTAATCTGAGCATTTATTTAATTTAAGGGTGCTAATTTAAAATTAAAAAATTAAATGGGTGGTTAGTTCGAAAATGGTTACATTTTTGGGTGGTAATTTAAAAATTAACATAATATATACAATATGTATAAAATTAATTCTACAATAGCATGATATAATGAAGTTTCTAGCCAATTGTAGACATGGTAGGTGATTAGGGGATTTTTATCCACCAAGCGCCGTTTGACAAGTGGACCAACCAGGTTCCGCCACGCGTCCTCCACGGACCACTTAAGACACGCCACGTGTCCACCCATGCCAAATGGGACAACCGGCCATCAAGGCCCATTTCAGTCTAGAAGCCCGATCGGCCCTAGGTTTACCTTAAACCTAGAGAGTTGCACGCTTCCCAAGGCTATAAATACTCGATTAATCCTCATTAATCGGGGGACCGAATAATTAACGGAACGGAGGAGAAACATTACGGAACACACTAATAACCGGCTGATCTCGCTAGCAAGGCAGATTACCTACATTAAATACTCTCACCTAGAGAGACCTTATTACTTTAATTTCTGTATTAATTACTCCTTAATCAGGTACTAACTTGACCGTTGGAGGCGGAGCTCTCAGGAGTCTCCGTTATTTTGCAGGTACAGGCGTCCGGTTCCAGTCTCGGAATTGTAGCTCTCCCGCAGGACATCAGAAAACCCCAAAACATTTGGCGCCGTCTGTGGGGAGAGTACTTCAGAGATGGCATCCAAGTCTGTACCGACCCCAGAAGAGAGGCGTCCCCTAGACGACCCTCAAGTTCAGTCGGACCATGATACCGAAAGTGAATTTGAAGTTGAAACTCATACAGCTCCAGACGGGACCCTAAGGGCCCGCCGTACCCGTCATACTGAAATAAGGGAACGGGAGTATCTTCAAACAGGAAGTGAGCCAGCAGGCGCACCGCTTGCTCGGCAACAGCCGACTGATGGGTCTGCTCCCATCACAAGGAACGAACTCATGACCTTCATGAGGGGATTCAAGGGAGAGATCCAAGAGTTGATCAACAAAAAACCGCCTGCTTCAGTCAAAGAGCAGGCGGCCAAAAAACCTTCCACTTCACTGAAGAGGAAGCCAGTTCAAGGGCGAGAGGCGACTCCCCATCCTAAATCTAAGAAGCGGGAGCCGTCTGCTCTTGATTTCACAAAACTCCGTTATCCTACGGGAAATAGGAAACCGGTTCGTCATATTCAGGCGGACGGGTCAAAGCAAACGTTCACAGATGCTCGGCACCTGCTAGAGCAGAAGAAGAGTGACCGATTATCAGAGTCGGCTTCTACTTCAAATTTTCAGGACAGTTTGCGAAATGCCTCGATGAGGCCAACTCAGTCGTACCATGAGAGTCAGTCAGGCGGCACCTCCCGTCAGTCTGGCTTTCATAGTGCGCAGGCGGTACCAAATTTGCCATTTGTGCCGCAACAACAATATTTTATGCAGCCACCTCCATTTGGTGGACCTGCAGCAAAAAACGTCCAACCTATGGACTGGCAGCTACGGCTGCTTAGACTTGGTGAACAGCCGTCGGCCTTCTCCAAGGAAATTACTGAAGCCGCTCAGCCGGCCAAAGTAAAAAATGTTTTAGTAGGCGCCTATGATGGCACTACTAACCCGGAAGACCATCTGATGGCATTCACCAACCTGATGTACCTTCAAGGGTTGGATGATCCCACTTGGTGCAAGTGTTTCCCAGCAACTCTCAAGGGAATTGCACAGCAATGGTTCGGCAACCTGCCGACTGGTTGTGTAAACAGTTTCAGGACGCTTGCTTACTTATTTGCCTCCAACTTTGCAATGAACATCCCTGCGAAGAAAACGACCCTTGATTTGGGAACAATTCAGCAGGGTGAAAAGGAGGGGCTTCGTTCCTACATCAGGCGGTTCAACCTGATGAGAATACAGATTCAAGGGTTACCGGATGAGGTAGCTTATACTGACTTTTTTAGAGGTCTCAAAGACGGGTCTACCTTCAAATTTGATTTAGTTCGAAAAAGGGTGGCGACTCTTCAAGAGGCCTTGATTGAAGCAGAAGCCTATATACAGGCGACTGATCTGTGTACAATGAAACAGTCGGACGGGAAGAGGTTCGACAATAGAGAAGGACGACAGAAACAGTCGTCCAACAAAGATGAAAAAAGAAAAGGGGTCTGGGCGGCTGATTCCTCTAAACAGCCGGCCAAGAAGAAAAAGGAATTCAAACCATACTCCCCAAAGTATGTGTTTAACAAGGATAACCAGTTTATCCTAAAAGAAATAAAGGGACGGCTCTCAATTGAGAAACCGCTCCCCATGAAGGGTTCTGCGAGCAACCGGAACCAAGACAAAATCTGTGCTTATCATGATGACATTGGTCATCACACCAACGACTGCATTAGTCTCATGCGGTACCTAGACCGCTTGGCTGATCAAGGTGATCTTGACACTTATGTCAAGAAATCTACGGGGAATACTTCCTCAAAAAAGCAGTCGGCCAAAAAGAATCAACAGGCCGACAGTTCCGATACAGATGATGCAGTCGTCTACACCATTGCAGGCGGCTTCTCAGGAGGCGGCCCCACTATTAGGGGCAACAAAGATAATATAAGGCGGTTAGATGTAAATTCTGTTCACCAAGAACGACCGTCCAAATATACATTTCCTGAGATTGTCATCACTGAAGAGGATCTAGGAGGAATAAGGGGGCCGCATGACGACCCTCTCGTTATTGAATGTAAAGTGGCCAACCAGAGAGTTGGTCGAATCCTCATAGATACTGGGAGCTCTTCAGATCTCATCAGCAGCAAATGTCTGTCAAAACTGAAATATCAGACGGACTGCATACATCCGGCCTCCCACCCTTTAATAGGGTTTGGAGGAGGAGTCGTCCACCCACTGGGACGAGTTGATCTACCCGTCCGCCTGGGCGAAAAAGGGGAAGGACGACACATGGTAGTCCGATTCCTAGTTGTAGAGGAACTCTCTGCCTACAACATGATTCTGGGTCGCCCAACCCTGAATAGTGCCAAGGCTGTTATAATCCCGTCACTTATGCTGCTTAAGTTTGAAAGGGACAATGGAACAGTCGGCTCCCTAAGGGGAGATCAGAGGATGGCCCGAGAGTGCTATCTCTCGGATGTCAAACCCACTGCTAAGGCCACTGGGTCAAGTGGAGAAAAAACAGACCTTGACAATGTCAAGGAAAGTGCGCCTGTTCAAGAAACAGGCGACAGAAAAAGAAAGGCGTCCCAGACAGAGTCCGCCAGAAAGGCAAGAAAATAGCAATCATTGGCAGAGGACCGGCCGGATGAGTTCCGCCCTCAGCCGGCTGGTGAGCATACGGACCTGATATTAGACGACTCCCGCCCTGACCGAACAGTCAAAGTTGGGACGACTGCTCTGGGAAACCTTGGTGATGACTTTCACAACCTGTTGAAAGAATACAAGGACATCTTTGCATTTGAAGTCCATGAAATGCCAGGCATTAGTCCTGATCTGGCAGTACACAAACTCGCTGTGGATCCGAAAAAGAAGCCGGTACGGCAAAAGAAGCGGAACCAGGGTGAAGAAAGAGGTCAGGCGGCCGCCGCCGAAGTCAAAAAATTACTTGATGCAGGGTTCATTCGGCAATGTTACTTCCCAGATTGGGTTGCAAATGTGGTACTTGTTAAAAAGCCGAATGGCACCTGGCGAATGTGTGTAGACTACACAGACTTGAACAAGGCGTGCCCCAAAGACAGTTACCCTCTGCCCAAAATTGATAACCTGGTCGACTCAACAGCCGGCCATGCCTTGATGAGTTTTATGGACGCCTATTCTGGTTTTCATCAAATTCCTTTGTGGAAGAAAGATCAGGAGAAGACGGCCTTCGTCACTGATCAGGGATTATACTGTTATACGGTCATGCCGTTTGGTCTTAAGAATGCCCCGGCTACATTCCAACGAATGATAAACACAGTGTTCTTTGATCAGATTGGGAGAAACGTCGAGGCATACATTGATGATATGATTGTTAAGACTAAACTTCAGAAAGATCATCTGACGGACCTCCGAGAAACTTTCGCCACACTCAGGCGGCACCATGTCATGCTCAATCCCAAGAAATGTGTATTTGGAGTTGAGTCTGGGAAATTTCTCGGATTCCTTATCAACCAGAGAGGAATAGAGGCGAACCCTGAGAAGGTACAGGCGGTCATTGACATGCAGTCGCCTCGTACCGTCCGAGAGGTTCAGAAGTTAACAGGTTGTCTGGCGGCCTTGGGAAGATTTCTAAGCCGATCAGGCGACAAATGCCTATACTTTTTCCAGGCAATTAAGAAAAAGGCAAGGTTTGAATGGGGGCCGGATGCTGAGGCCGCCTTCCAGAAATTAAAGGTTCACTTGCATTCCTTGCCAAGGCTGGTCAGCCCTTTGCCCAAAGAAAATCTCTACATGTACCTGGCCGTCTCTGATCATGCGTTAAGCGCGGTGCTCCTTGCTGAAAGGGACGGCTGTCAACTTCCGGTCTACTTTGTCAGTCACGTA